TGTTAACCCCCCCCCCCCCCCCCCCCCCTAGGTCTCCTGTTTGGATTTGAGCACATACATCCTTTCATCTCTATCTCATAGTGCTGGTCAGTGACCAGACTGGAGTCTGTAGTCTGTAGCTCTTCTCCTGCTTTGTCATATCGGCATTGTATGTCCAGTAAAGTATGCTATGATGCTATGAGCAAGCGAGTATTTAGTATTTAGCACAGTAGACTAGGGACTGGTCAGAGATGGACCACTTTGATGCAATTGGCCAGAGAGGAATCACTTTGATGCAGTTGGCTAGAGAGGGATCACTTTGATGCAGTTGGCTAGAGAGGGACCACTTTGATGCAGTTGGCCAGAGAGGAATCACTTTGATGCAGTTGGCCAGAGAGGGACCACTTTGATGCAGTTGGCCAAAGAGGGATCACTTTGATACAGTTGGCCAGAGATGGACCAATTTGACACAGTTGGCCAGAGAGGGATCACTTTGATGCAGTTGGCCAGAGAGGGATCACTTCGATGCAATTGGCCAGTGAGGGACCACTTTGATGCAGTTGGCCAGAGAGGGATCACTTTGATGCAGTTGACCAGAGAGGGACCACTTTGACACAGTTGGTCATAGAGGGTTAACTTTGATGCAGGCGGCCAGAATGGGGTCACTTTGACACAGTTGGCCAGAGAGGGATCACTTTGACACAGTTGGCCAGAGAAGGATCACTTTAACCTTGCTGGCCAGAGAGGGACCACTTTGACACAGTTGTTCATAGAGAGTTAACTTTGAGGTAGGTGGCCAGAAAGGGGTCATTTTGGTGCTTTTGGCCAAATGGGGTCACTTTGATGCAGTTGGCCAGAGAGGGATCACTTTGACGTAGCTGGTAACAAGGAGGTTAATTTGACACAGTTGGCCAGAGAGGGATCACTTTGAGGCAGTTAGCCAGGAAGGGAACACTTTGGCGCAGTTGGACAGCTTGAACATGTATCGCAATATATGTGACCCAAGAATCCCTGTTTTAAGTCAGAAATGTTTCTAGGAACATGTAAGTGTGAATAGCGGTGTGCAAGACTGAAGGGAAGGCAGAAGTTCAGCTTTAAACTAATTCTACGTTTCAGAATCTTTTGACGTTCCCGGTGGGAAAATTTAGAGTTTCCTTTGGAAGGATACAACTTAAACAATAAGTAATCCAATATCCTTTCACTGGAATCTATTGTCCTCCAACGTTTCCTAGAAATACTCCCGCAGGAGCGTCCGATTTTATCTTCCCCGCCATAAAATTTCTTAAACCCAAGAGCCGCGCAGCCACGGACCAGGGAGTTTCCACGTCGCCCTGTCCCTCTGGGGCTCAGGAACGTATCTGAACTCCGTCTACGAGGAATGAGGCTTTATGATGGAATACGCTTGTTATTATTTTTATGGCACCGATACACATCTGAAAGCAAACACATTACCAGAACCTTGAATCGGGTAAACAGATGTTAGACGCTGATCTTCCGGCAGATGTGGACCGATGACATGAGTTATGACAGCGCAGAGGGAATTATGTCAGGCGCTTTATCCTGCCTTACTTTAAAGCCAACAATAAGTAAATATTGTTGCCATACAAGAGCCAAGTATAAGGCTTCATCACTCAATGACGTGATTGACATTGGATCTACATCACCGGATGCCGCGATTGACATTGGATCTACACCACTGGATGACATGATTGACATCGGATCTACACCACTGGATGACATGATTGACATTGGATCTACATCATTGGATGACGTGATTGACATTGGATCTACACCACTGGATGACATGATTGACATTGGATCTACATCACTGGATGGCATGATTGACATTGGATCTACACCACTGGATGACATGCTTGACATTGGATCTACACCACTGGATGACATGATTGACATTGGATCTACATCACTGGATGACGTGCTTGACATTGGATCTACATCACTGGATGGCATGATTGACATTGGATCTACACCACTGGATGACATGCTTGACATTGGATCTACACCACTGGATGACATGATTGACATTGGATCTGCATCACTGGATGGCATGATTGACATTTGATCTACATCACTGGATGACATGCTTGATATTGGAACTACATCACTGGATGACATGATTGACATTGGATCTACACCACTGGATAACATGCTTGACATTGGATCTACATCACTGGGTGACATGATTGACATTGGATCTACACCACTGGATGACATGATTGACATTGGATCTACATCACTGGATGGCATGATTGACATTGGATCTACATCACTGGATGACATGATTGACATTGGATCTACACCACTGGATGACATGCTTGACATTGGATCTACACCACTGGATGACATTCTTGACATTGGATCTACACCACTGGATGACGTGATTAATGGCGGTTATATAAGAAGGCCCCCCTTACATTAAAGGTGGCTTCCAGATCCCGATAAGTACTCCCACACAGACCCCTTTCTTTTTCTCCATCAATCTTTTTCTCCATCAACATGGGGACATGGTGATGGAGAAAACATCATTTAAAGGCCATCTCTGGGCTCATAGGTTGAAGGTGATGCCTTATTTATACCTACTCCTGAAGGAGGTTATAGGTTGAAGGTCCTACCTTACTTGCACCTACTCTTGATGGAGCTCATAGGTTGAAGGTCCTGCCTTAATTGCACCTACTCCTACACCTGATGGAGCTGATAGGTTGAAGGTCCTGCCTTACTTGCACCTACTCCTACTCCTGATGAAGCTCATAGGTTGAAGTTCCTGCCTTACTTGCACCTACTCCTGATGGAGGTCATAGGTTAAGGTTCCTGCCTTACTTGCACCTACTCCTGATGGAGGTCATAGGTTAAGGTTCCTGCCTTACTTGCACCTACTCCTGATGGAGGTCATAGGTTAAGGTTCCTGCCTTACTTGCACCTACTCCTGATGGAGGTCATAGGTTGAAGGCCCTGCCTTATTTGCACCTACTCTTGATGGAGCTCATAGGTTGAAGGTCCTGCCCTGTTTGCACCCCCTCCTGATGAAGCTCATAGGTTGATGGTCCCTTCTTTATTTGCACCCCCTCCTGATGGGGCTCATAGGTTGAAGGCCCTGCCTTATTTGCAACCCCTTTCCTGGTGAATCTCCCAAGGTGACTGCCACTTTTGCCTACCCTGCACCCAGATCTCTCAGATGTCTTCAGGCCGGTCACATGATGCACAAGGTCCTTATCGGATTTTCTCCTGGAGGAAGGTAGCCCTCAATGATGCAGAAAGCATCACTGATGTGACGCCGCCACCCTCTGCATCATGACACTGTGAGGGGAGGGAGACATGGTGACCCTCCTTAGGGAGCAGGTCCATGACTTCCTGCACTCACAGGACGTCCTCAGTTTTCCAGGTTGAATGATGGTGGATGTCATACATACCAAAATACTGAGGACATCTGGTGGTGGAAAGAAATAATTGCAATCCCAAATTTCACCCATGGGTATTTCTTCTGTGCAGTAATCCAGCGTAAGACTTGGAGCTTCCTGTAATAAAGACCGCTCACTGCTGCTCTCTCTCCTTGTGCAGGGTGACTGGTCTTGTCTCCACCCCCTCCTGTAATAAAGACCAGTCACTGCTACATTCTCTCCTTGTGCAGGGTGACTGGTCTTGTCTCCACCCCCTCCTGTAATAAAGACCAGTCACTGCTACATTCTCTCCTTGTGCAGGGTGACTGGTCTTGTCTCCACCCCCTCCTGTAATAAAGACCAGTCACTGCTACATTCTCTCCTTGTGCAGGGTGACTGGTCTTGTCTCCGCCCCTCCTGTAGCTTTGTGCAGGCAGCCTGTAGTGGGTGGAGCCTGCTGGGCCCCTCCCACATCTCTTCTCATTTGCACAGGCTATATAAAGTTAACCACACTGTGCCATGGCGGTGGGGGGTTGGGGGGGGCCCTTCTTGGTATCTTCCAACCGGGCCCTGAAGGTTCTAGTTACGCCACTGTAAGTGGCCATTTGCCTGT